CACTCCCTTTGGATTTCTATGTCGTGCATCATCATCCATGTTCCCTCCACTGACTCATTTGTTGCATCATTCCACTTCATTTCCTTTGTCTACCATGTGCACAATATCCTTTCACCTCCTTGCACTCATTGATTCACCACTTACTCACATTTCCACCCATGCCATGCATAATCACCCTTGTCCCCTTCATGCACCAGGTTTCTTGCACTCATTTCATGTACCATTACACTCATTATCAACCCATGTCGTGCACCACCCTTGTCTCCTTCATTATTTCTGATTTCATGCATCAAAACATTGAATCATTGCACTCAATTGCTGCACATTTCTTGTCCCCTTCACCCATCAGATTTCATACAACTTTTACCTCTACTACATGCATTCATTGATGCACCATCCACCACATTTGGAATCTCATGCCGTGCATCATGAGTCTTGCTGCACCTTTGACTCATTTCTGCACCATTCCACCTTCATTTCCTTTCTCTACCATGTGCACAATCATTCATGTTCCCTAACTGCAACACCATTCCATTTTACCCCCTGATGCTTTGCATCATCACTGCACTTTCACCTTTGAATCATTTCAAACACCACTCAATGCACTCATTGCTGCAACACCACTCCATTTTACCCTCATGCTTTGCATCATTACTTCATTTTCACCCTTGAATCATTACACACATCACCAATTTCCCTCCATTACCGTGCACTTCCTCTATAAAATGTAGTGTGTGTGGCAGCCATATAGTTTAGTTTTTGCTTGATCATTCATCCCTATTTCAATACAACCTTCATCCAAACACATCCATTCATCATTACATCTATTCCTCCATACAAACAAACATTCAAACACTCACCAACACCTTGTGCCATAGCAAAGGAAGGGAAGGAAAGTGCTTGGACGTGCTTGCTGTCCAACTTGGATCGTTTAAGCGTTTAAGTGTTTTCTTTCTTTTGTTTCTAATGTTTAAATTTATTTCCTTTCGTTTTGTTGTAAATATGTGTGGCTAAACCCCTCTTGGCTAGGGGTAATTTCAAAGCCATGACTATGTGTGCAATATAATTTGATAAATTCCAGTTATGAACTCTTGAATCGTGAATGCAATTGGCATGCATAAATCCGATGCTAGAATATAAGAAAGTTTCACATAATCGTTACAAACTTATATTCATAAGTAGTGGAAGTCGCTTATAAACGATCGCGTTAAGTTCAATTCCTAGCATGAGTAACATGATGTCATAGTTGTAAGTGTTTTGTCAATGCTTATGATTTTCATTAAACGTAATGATCTTTGATTGTATCTCTATTATGATGTCATGTAAGGAACTTTTGAAGAATGTTTTGGGTTGTCGAATGATGTCATCCAATCCAATAAAACAAGGAAAATCTGAGAGTTAACTAGTGATGTCACGGTTAATTTGGAGCATTGTCATTCATAATTCAATGAAGTAGTAACTGGAAATCGAGTTATTTGCATACATGTCATGTGTGGAGAAAAAGCCTCTAGCTATCCCATCCATCATCTTATTTCTCACATTTGTTTTACAATCTGTCTAATTTTTCATACTTGTTTGTTTGTTTCAACTTCATCCAAATCAAAACCCTCCCTTTTAGTTTCTTGTTTCAAAGTGTTTCAAATCTGTTTTAGTTTGTGTTCTTAAGTGTTTTGATTCAAGTAAAAGTCAATTTTCGTCCAAAGTCATTCCTAGTGTCTAGTTTAAGTTTATTTGGTTGTTTTAAGCTGTTTTGAGTATTTTAAGTTTGCTTTGAGTCTTGTGAGTCTTGTTAAGTGTTTTTAAATTTAGTTTTATGTTTTTGAGTCAGTTTAGAGCTTATTAGCAAGCCCTCCTAATTCCCGGTCCAGAACGATCCCTACTTATACTTGTACTACAATTGTTAAAAGAGGGTTAAATTTGTGTGTTAAGATAATTTTCGCATCAGAGACCAAAGCAAAAACAAAGAGCACCCACCGATCCTAGCCGCAGCCAGGATCGACGGCAACAAACTGGAACACGATGGAGAAACACTCACACGAAAGGGTGAGAATCGCCCTCAAATAGAAGGAAGGTCTCTCACGGGGGAGAGAAGTTTATGTGGAAGATGAAATCTTTGGTTCACAAGGCTGATACGGACTCTTTACTTCTGTTTCTAGATGATATATTTTATGAATGAGATGGTAGGACATCTTTATTCAATTTTTTTTTTTAATTGTCAAGGCCAATCTAGGGCGTTTTTCATTATCCCTAAAACTAAATATACTCTCATTTTCGAGATTTTCATTTTACACTTCATTTTCCAATACTTTTATTTTGTAACGCATAATGACGAACATAGAGGGTGAATAATTGGTTTGCATGGTAGGATTTGTTGGAAAAAAATTGGGTGAACACATAAAAAATAAAGAAATAATTCATGCAATTACATATTAAAATTAATGCATGCATATGAGTAACCAATGCTAAATATGACATAATGGATTAGAAAAACCTGAAAATTCGATCAAGGCAAGTGTTAAACACTTTGTCCTTAAGACAAGTTTACACCCCACTACGATGTTCATGGTTGATTGGCGCATGTCTCCCAAAATACAACAACCACGTCCTTGTAAAAGTAGCACTCCAAATCACAAGGCTCCATGAACCATGATTGTGTTGAAAACTCTCTCATATGGACTCAATGAAACTCTCTAATACTCTATGTATAATTATGTAAACAATGAAAAAAAAGTTATTTTGTAATTATAGGGGGCTTCCCCATTTATATAATGTGAGATACCTCTTTGGAAAACATGTGACTATTCATGAAGAGTCAAAAGTTGCAACACTTCATTTAAGTGGACATATCCGTCTACCAAAAGACTTCACTTCTAATTTCCATTCAGTTAATAAATTTAATATAATAATAATATTATTAAATTTTCCAACAATCCTCCACATGAATGGAAATTGACTCAATACCATGCAAATGACAATGCAGACACTAGAGAGAGAATTCAGTAAGAAAAGTAGCGCATCGTGATAGGTGGCTTTTAGGGTTCAATAGGAAAAGTACTACAATGTCATTATGCGATTAAATTTGTAGACTATAAAAAATAAGTACGTTAATCAATACTTAAGTATTAATCCAATCATCAACTTTCATATTATATAATTTACAAATTTTATCTAGATCAGTCATCTCTCCCTATTTTTCTTTAACTTTATATTGTTTTAGCTGATATTAAGATTAAGCTGCTGCTGCAATTCCTAGAAACGGGGATTGGAAAATCAGTCAACAATAAAAAGACCAACAGACATTTTTGAATTAAAATAAAGTTGTCAAAGTGGGAACTGGTGACTAACAGCTCACGCACCATGGTCAGGCCAGGGCACCACCGCTGGTCCACTTCCTCTCGGTCCCCTTTTGTGCTTTCCCTCCCTCCCACTCAAATAAAATATCTAGCAAAGTGGATAAGTTGGTAAACATGACAGATTATTATATATGGCAAAACTTGCATTAAAACGATATTCATGACGACCGGTCACATACACATCGGAATCAGTGCAAGCAAAGTCAACCTGCATTATTATTAGGAAGTTTTAACGAAAAGTTCACGGTACTGTTTATTTTAACGAAAAACCATATTTTTATACTATAAAGTTAAACCTGGTACTATTCACTTTACCATTTATTTTGTCATTGTCATTAAAACTCAAAGTTTTCAAACATTTTTTATTAGTTTTCCTTTATTATTAAAGAAAACTAATAAAAAGAGTTTGAAAACTTTGAGTTTTAACGACAATGATAAAATAAATGGCAAAATAAATAGTACTAAGATTGATTTTTTAGTGTAAAAATGTGGTTTTTCGTTAAAGTGAATAGTACCGAGAACTTTTCGTTAAAGTTCTTTTATTATTAGTCATTACTATTAAGTGGCACAAGCCGATAGATAAATTCAAAGTGCGAACGCTTGCTATCTTGTTTCTTCTTTTTATTATACTGTTTGAACCCCCTTTTGCATTATTTTTTTTTCTTAAAAAAAGAAAAGAAAAGACAATTGATAGTAAGTTACGGTTATTCATCCTAGGGCTAGGCACAGGCCAGGTCGGGCCCAAGGGACCGGACCGGACCGGGTTTAAAATAAACAGGCCGGGCCAGGATGGTTACAACATATTTTAATACATGAACCGGACCTAACTCAGCCTGGTTGAAACAGGCTGGTTCGGGCCAGGTCTACTGGTCTTTTTTTTTTTTAGGATACAATTCAATCGGCACCGCCCGAACCACCACCACTCAAGGCCGTCTCCGCCCATGCACACCTCATCATTAGATCCAAACCCACCAAACCCAGTTCCAAATTGCCACCCATAATGAGATTCGACGCTGCCCAACTCAGATTTGCCTCTTCTCCTGCTCAAATCTTTGATAAGAAGCATGAAATCGAATCATATGCACTAAATATATGAAGTTAGATAGAGAGAGACCATAGCGACAGAGGAAACGAGGGCATAGGCGGCCCAGAGAGCGTAGAAGATGTCGCCCTGCCACCAGGAGGACTCGTTGATCTCGTCCCACCAATTGAAGAACATTGAGACGACTTCCATGGGCGCAGAGCTCAATAATAGCAGTGGCATTCTCGTCATTTCACGGCAAAGCTCCTCCAAGAGCGCGAGAAGCTCAGCGAGCGAGCCAAAGTCAAAACACTTAAGAAGCGGAGAGCAGAAGAAACTTAACTCGTCATCGCATTGGAGATTCGACAAAATCGAAATTGCAAAATCGAGAAGATGGGTGGTGCGTATGGATTATGATTCTCTGTTATTATTCCTTTTATTTTTACAAATTACAAATAAATATATTGGTGCTAGTTTGTACAACTTGCAATTGAACAATAATATACATATGATGGTTTCTGTCGGCATCGGCCTGTCGAGAGTCGTGACATTAAAATTGATGCTCTATCCTCCGTCGAGAATCCTAGATCTATATAAAAAAAAATTAATCACGGTGTCTTTGTATCTTAGAGTCAATAATATTTGTTTTCCTTTGCAAATATTAAAATAACATGCTTCAAAGCCTAGTTTGTTGCAAATGAAATAATGTAGTTTGACGTCATGTTTACTTGACAGCAATGAAATAAAGTACATGATAATATGATCAGCTATCTGACCATGGAGTATTTTATGGTGGGTGAAGCAAGGCTCTCCATGTACAAAGCCACTTGAGAAGAGCGTACATCCCCAGCAAAGACGGCTCGGAAGTTTCTGTCTGCCTGACTGTAAATGACTAGTTTCCTTTGATGCAAGAGGATTAGAATCTCCCCGTTCTTCAAAATACTCAGAAGTGACATCAGCCCTAGGTATTCAGAATCCATCTTCTGCGGAATGGTAGTGAAAATAGACCAAGATGCCTTGACCCCGTACTCATTCATTAACCACACCTGGTAATCAGACCCATGAGGGCTGTGAAGCATACTCAGCCGCCCTCCTAAAACCCCAAACCATAGAACGAGAAATTCTTGTCGCCGTCGCCCGGTAGGGAAACTTGCCGGTACGTCTCCTCCGCTATATCGAAAGAAACGATTGAGAAAGACCTCTTATCCTCACCGTTTGCGGAAGCTTGATCAGTAGTCTTTCCGCAGCGGACTGCCCAGTGGAGACCCCCGTTGAGTAGGGTTCCGACAAGGTTGAACAGAAAGTAAAAAGGCAGGGTTTCGGACCTGGCTCTCCATGTATTGGTCTTCAAAGAATAAATGTCAAGTTGGGTGGCGAAAACGCCAGCCTTACTTGAAGAAGTGGCCCTCACTATTTTATAGTCTTCCCTGCGCGAATCGTAACCGAAGCCATAGAAGTAATCCTTACCGGAGATTGTTGCCAACTTTGGGGCTGCATGAACCTGCCTGGTGGATGGATTATAAATCATCATATCTTCTAAGTCAACCACCAAACACACCAGGCCGTTACAAGAGCCGACAATCTTCATGTCTTTGACCGGCCGCCTCATTGTCACATAGTACTCATGTTCCTCCTCCACGACCCTAGTAGCACTATTAGCACCAGTCGTGCCAGCTGCTTCTGCCTTCGTTTCTGTTTCTGCCTTTGCTTCTGCTAGACTTTCTGCTTCACCGTCGCCACGGGATGGCAAAGTTGCCGTTGCGGGTGCATCAATAGTAGTGGTATTGAGAACTTGTACGTGGACGGACTGGAGGAGGGACAAAGAGGAAAGCAAGAGTCGTGCTCTTGACAATATAGTTTTGCCGTGAGCATCATGATCACGATCACAATCATCGTCATCGTCGTCGTGTTTGGTAGAGCGGATAAGGAGGTGTGACTTGACAAACTTTGGGTCGGAGATGAGAGCAAGCCATGGCTTGCATACGCTTCTGAAACGAAGGAGGGACTTCACCGGCAGTTGCAGCAGAATTTTCTCCACAATCTCATAAGGAAGCTGCCGCTGATCATCTTGTTCATTATGCATATTGGAATGATCCAATAAGGTTCCCATGTCATATACAATTGGTTGAGGGAGGCTTGATGAAACTTGGGACTTTGAGTTCCAGTATTTATAGAGCAATCACTACAATAACTAAGTGCAAGTTGAGAGATTTGATCCTTCACCTACAAGTAAACTCCATCTGTCAGTTTAGTATCTATTTATAAATTAATAAAGGACAACTAGTACTGCAGATTAACTAAACGATAAAGCTAGCTAATTAAACAAATCTTTAACAATATACAATAATAAAACAAGGATTACTTTATGGAACTTGCATATCGACTCCAGAATGAAGTCAATGATTTTGTATCGACCTAATTGAATTAACATGACTCAAAATATGACTGCCTAAACTAACCTGTACTAATTTGGAGCTGCGGGTAAGCATAAACAAGGCCTTTATATAATAAGTTGGAAGATAATATGCATTGGAAGCTAGCAATAATAAAAAGTTCATGATATATAGACATATATCTAATAACTACGATTTGCTGTCATTCAGCTAATGCATCCTAATTTTAGACGGATCAAATTACTTTTACATATAAAATTGATCAGTCTATTATAAATCATCATTCAAAGTAACAGGAAAGTACTTTAACCTGTATACACAATCGACCACATATAATTGAGCTTCAGTTGAGGCTTAAAAGTAGCTAAGTACGTAGCTAGTGAAGCAAATATTGTAGGCCTGCCGACTTTGGGATACGCGAGCTTGAAAGATCCACCACTGGTCAATATTTAATCTGTATATGCAACACTATCTCTAACAGGGCTAGCTAATGTATTATGTAATAATACCGCCTCTATCTCTATCTAATTATACAACTGACACATGCATAAATCTATATCACAAAATAAACGTTACAAAGCATGCAATTTGATGATGCGATCAATACAAAACTGATAACACACACGTATATATGTGTGCGCGCGCGCGCGCGCATAGTGGTTGTTGAGGTTGGAATGTAAATTACATGCAGGCCGGCCGTGATCGGTTGAAGAAATTAATTACGTGGGACTTGGACTACCATTCATTACAAACTGGAAGGGGTTCGTTAATTAGGCAAGTCGCAGGTGATGTGCAAGAAGAATGAATGAGAGATTAAGATGTGTGTGTGTGTGTGTGTGTGTGTGTATATGCCACAGAGCAAATGGATAGTAATAAAGGAATTTTAACGAAAAGTTCTCGGTGCTATTCACTTTAACAAAAAACCACACTTTTACACTAAAAAGTCAATCATGGTACTATTCATTTTATATTTTATTTTATCATTTTCATTAAAACTGAAAGTTTTCAAACAATTTCCATTAATTTTCTCTAGTTATAAATGTAGAAGAGTTCAGAGCGAGAGAGAGTTAGACCCAGCGTGTTGTTGACATTGTAGTAGTTCTTAATTTGGTGATGGCGTGCACGACCATCAAAAAGAAAGTTTTGAGCCTCATAAAGAAATTTGGGTCCATCTGGGACATTGTTGTAGTTCTTAACTTGGTGATGGCGCATAAAGAAATTTATGGGCCTAATAAAGAAATTTGGGCCTATCTGGCCCCAGAGTTGAACATTGTTGTAGTTCTTAATTTGGTAATCACGTGCAGAGTTGGTTCAATTGCAGAAAAAAAGGGTGCAAATAATACCGCAGGGTGCAGAAATTAGGGTTTGTATCATTCATGTGGTCCTCCACTCCCTCATTGCCAAGAGTTTAATGACCTATCTTCATCTTCAGCCCCCCGCAGAAAGTGAAAACTCTAGAATGCATACATGCAGAACATATGCAGTGGTAAAAAATAATCATGTTTATGCATTTTGGTACGGATTGATCTCCATCGATTTCCTCACCTATTATAAATAACTATTTAACCAACTAATGCTATCGCTCTACTAAAAAAATGCATAACATATATTACGGAATTTAACAAATAAATTTGCGTTGAAAAGTTTGAGAAAATTTAACAGGTGGATATGATATACTTGGAAGGCAATGTATATTGTCATTAGTGCTATAGTTTATGGCCTTCCATTTCTCTTGTATAAGTGAGAAATCTAAAGTTTTTAATTCTCGTAAATTACAAATCTGATACTAATTTATCAAGCTGAGCTATTGTGTGATTTACTCCAATCCATATCGTTGTGTATAAGTACAATATACACAAATATACATTGCTATACAGTAGGACTCTCCAGAGCTCTTCTGCAGTTGACCTCTCAGTGTTGATTTGGATTGGCCAACCATTTTAAGGTAAAACTAATTAATTTTTATGTTGCAGTTGGGTTTGTAATTAATCAAAATTGAGTTAGTCAGTTAATTAGTTCAACTAATTTGTACTTGTTTCCTAATAAGCCCCTACAATTGCATATAAACTAATAAGCAATACACACACATGCAATTATGCAAGTGCAGCTTGTTATTACCGGGACCCACCCACCGACCCACCGACCCACCGACCCATTGCTCGTTTGTGTTTAATCATACCACCTTCATTGAAGAATTGATTGGTGCCAAATTCGTGAAATGTCACAGGAATGACCAAAGCCGGTTGTCAATAGTCAAATTTCTCCCCACCGACACTGCCAATATGGTAAGGACTTTTTCTTTTTCTTTTTCCATTTTGTCAAAGCCATACGAACAAACAGACATCGACCTTGAACCTTAACATGTTGAATTTTTCTTCATTGGTTCATTGATTATCATATTCTTAGGCGAATGCATCCGTCCAACATCCAAAGTAAATATATATAGTAATGTTAGATAGATTAAATTTGTAGATTATAAGAAATAAATACGTTAATCAATACTTAAATAATAATTCAATCATTAACTTTCATATTATTTAGTTTACAAACTTTTATCTAGGTCAGTCATCTCTCTCTGTTTTTCTTTAACTTTACACTTTTTTAGCTGATATTAAGATTAAGCTGCTGCTAACTCCGCCGTGTAAGTTTATCTTACATTGCCGGTCCCAAGCCCGGATAAAGGAGGAAGGGGAGGGCGTCAGGTAGTCGACAGCCGGCACCCCATGATCACGTCGAATCCTTATGAAAATGAATCCAGAACGAAATCGCGCTAAAGCTAGGGCGTCACCCGTAAGTGGCGCGCTGTGTGGCCTGAGCACAGTGATAAGTGAGCAAGGGTCGCTGTATCTCCATCGGCACCCGAATACAGTGTTAAATGAGCAAGGGGGCTATAGAAACTTCTTTTCGAACGACTCCACTCAAAGTTGTTTGGGAGCATATGCTCCTATCAACTTTACACGGGACACACAAAAGAAGTACTTTGATCCTATTAGACGGGGAAGGGTGAAGAAGCTAGGACAGAAGGGTAGAGTTCAAGAGAGCAAAATGCGTTTAGGAACGTGGAATATAGGAACCTTGACGGGAAAATTTATGGAAGTAGTAGAAGTTATGGTGAGGAGAATGATAAATATTATGTGCCTACAAGAAACTAAGTGGGTTGGTCGTAAGGCAAAGGATCTAGAAAACTCAGGGTTTAAACTATGGTATTCGGGCACAAATAGAACGAGAAACGGTGTTGGCATCATCGTGGACAAGACCTTGACACAAGATGTTGTAGATGTCAAGAGGGTAGGAGATAGAATCATGGCAATCAAGATTGTAATAGGACAAGAACTTATCAATGTGATTAGTGCGTACGCACCTCAAGTAGGGTTGGATACGAGTTCGAAGGAGAAATTTTGGGAAGACCTTGGAGACTTGGTGCAAGGAATTGCTCAGACGGAGAAGTTATTTATAGGAGGAGATTTAAATGGACACGTGGGCAGGGAGACAGGCAACTATGGAGGTTTTCATGGTGGCCATGGTTTTGGGGAGAGAAACGAGGATGGGGAAGCTATCTTGGATTTTGCAATGGCATATGATCTCTTCTTAGCCAACACCTTCTTTAAGAAGAGAGAAGAACATGTGATCACCTACAAGAGTGGGTCGTCAAAAACACAAATAGATTTTCTTCTAATGAGGAAAGGGGATCGTATAACTTGTAAGGATTGCAAAGTTATACCAGGAGAGAGAGCGTGACTAATCAACATCGCTTGTTGGTGATGGATGTACATATCAAAAGAGTGAGAAAAAAGAACAAGACTTGGAAGTGCCCAAGGACTAGATGGTGGAATCTAAAAGAAGAAAAACAAGCCATTTTCAAAGAGAAAGTAATCACCCAGTGTGTGTGGGATAGAGAGGGGGAAGCTAACCAAATGTGGGATTCCATGGCTAGTTGTATCCGAAAAGTAGCAAAAGAGGTATTAGGAGAGTCCAAGGGCTTTGCCCCACACCAAAAGGAATCTTGGTGGTGGAATGAGGAGGTACAAGCAAAGGTGAAGGCTAAGAAGGAATGTTGTAAAGCCTTATACAAGGATAGGACCGATGAAAATGGTGAAAGGTATAGAAAAAGCGAAGCAAGAGGCGAAGAAAGCTGTGAGAGAAGCTAAGTTAGCGGCTTATGACGATATGTATAAGCGACTAGATACCAAAGAAGGAGAGTTGGATATCTATAAACTAGCTAGAGCAAGGGAAAAGAAGACAAAGGACCTAAACCAAGTGAGGTGCATCAAGGATGAGGATGGAAAGGTTCTTGCTACAGAGAACGCGGTTAAAGACAGATGGAAAGGTTATTTTCATAATCTTTTCAATGAAGGACATGAAAGGAGTGCTTCTTTAGGGGAGTTGAGTAACTCAGAAGAGTGTAGAAACTACTCTTTTTTATCGTAGAATCCGGAAGGAAGAAGTGGTTGTAGCTTTGAAGAAGATGAAGCATAGAAAAGCAGTAGGCCCAGACGACGATATACCAATCGAAGTGTGGAAAGTTTTGGGAGAGACAGGTATAACATGGCTCACTGACCTTTTCAATAGGATTTTGAAAACGAAGAAGATGCCAAATGAGTGGCGAATGAGCACTTTGGTGCCTATCTACAAGAATAAGGGCGATGTACAAAATTGCATGAACTATAGGGGAATATTAAGCTAATGAGTCATACAATGAAGCTCTGGGAGAGAGTCATTGAGCATAGATTGAGGCAAGAGACACGGGTTTCGGACAACCAATTCGGGTTCATGCCAGGGCGCTCAACCATGGAGGCAATCTATCTCTTACGAAGATTGATGGAAAGATATAGAGATGGGAAAAAGGATTTACACATGGTCTTTATAGATTTGGAAAAAAGCGTATGATAGGGTCCCAAGAGACATTCTTTGGAGGATTTTAGAGAAGAAAGGAGTACGAGTAGCATATATCCAAGCTATACAGGATATGTATGAAGGAGCAAAGACTGCCGTAAGAACTCATGAAGGACAAACCGAAAGCTTTCCCATAACTGTAGGATTACATCAAGGCTCATCCTTAAGTCCTTACCTTTTTGCGTTGGTAATGGATGAGTTAACAGGACATATTCAAGATGATATTCCTTGGTGTATGCTTTTCGCAGACGATATAGTGTTGATAGATGAAACTCAGGAAGGGGTAAATGCAAAGCTTAACCTTTGGAGAGAAGTGTTGGAATCTAAAGGTCTTCGCCTAAGCCGATCAAAGACAGAATATATGGAGTGCAAGTTCAGTGCAAATGGAGGCCAAAACGAGTTAGGGGTGAGGATCGGAGATCAAGAAATACCAAAGAGCGACCGTTTTCGTTACCTAGGATCTATCTTGCAAAAGAACGGAGAATTAGATGGAGATCTCAACCATA